ACATCAACCACAAGTCTACATGTACTTCTCAGAGAGAAACTGAGGCAGCAGACACTTAACCTGATGGGGTAAGCTGACCATAGCACGGTCCCATACACCAGCGGTTCTCAACCAGGGGTCCGGCACCCCCTGGGAGGCCACAAGCAGGTTTCAGGGGTTCCACCAAGCAGGGCCAGTGTTGGATTCACTAGGGCCCAAGGCAGAAAATCAAAGCCCCTCTGTGCGGGGCTGACGCCCAGAGCCCTGAGCCATGCCACCTAGGGCTAAACCTGAAGCCTGAGCAAGGTAGCTTTGCAAGGCCCCAGGCAATGGCCCTGCTTGCTAAACCCTAACGCCGGCCCTGGCTTTTATATGCAGAAAACCAGTTGTGGCAGTACAGGTGGGCCGTGGAGTTTTTATAGCATGTTGCAGGGGAGGAAACACAAAGAAAAAGATTGAGTACCCCTGCTCGACACACAGTAAATGTATATTATTACGCATACAGCTAAACAGTATGGGCCCTGATCCTGAAAAGGGATCAGCCTGCACAGTCCCAGCAAATTTGCCTCTCAAGCTGGAGTCTGTGCAGGCAATTCCCTTGGCAGGCCTGGCGCTCTGGTTTTGCCTCCATTAGTACATCCAAAGCCCTCCACTTGGAACGCTTATTCACACCAGCAGACAAGGGGCACAATGCCTCAGTCTGACTGTCACCATTTCAACTAGCATGGCCTTCAGCCAAGTTTGGTTAGTCGCCAAGTTGGAGAGCAGGTGCGCATCTCATTCGTGTCACTTTTGCACAGAGATGGATTGTTTTTAAATTGATCATTTAATACCATATTAAGTGTATTTAATGCTGGCTGAGTGTTTGGTCCTTGCCTTTAATTAAGGAAATCAGCAATTCCTATCTTCTCCCTTAAAAACAAGGGTTAAAAGAGCCATGTCATTCCCATTATGATATTACAAAACACTTTCCTCAGATTTGATGTAAAATAATTTGTACTACTAGGCTCTGTCACTGGAGAATTTAATATTCCTTTAAAAGAAAGGCCACTCAGCACTTATACAATGCCTTTTCATCCTCAAAGGACTTTCAATGTTTAACGTGCGGGTGGCCTGTGCTATTCAGGAGGTCAGATTAGATGATCTGGTGGTCCATTCTGGCCCTAAACTCTATGACACTTCCCAAAGGTGTACTTTTTTTTTTTTTTTTTTTTAAAGACGGAACGGAAAACCCTGATAGTTCTTTTTAAAATGCACATTTGGACAAGCACCATTTTAAATAAAATCATTTTACAATCATCCAAATTTTGACCCAAGCTTTTAAATCAGAGCCCTTCAAATAAGACATTAAAAGCATCACAGCAGTGGAAGTGAGAAAGCACTGATGTCATACACGAAACCAGCACATTTTAAGATAACACTGAAGTCTGCCAACTACCCTGCCAACAGAGAAAAGGCTATTTGCAGCAGACTAGAATGACATCTTGCCTACAGATAAAGAAGATAGCCATAAGTTGAAAAAAGACAGATGGTAAACATGCTGGTAGATTTACTAGCGTCAAGCTATCAAATGTTAGAAAGGTGGTATCATGGCAAGGAACCTCCTAGCAGAGCACTTTAAGACAAGTCCTACTGCATTTGTATTGAATCAAGACTTGAGAGCTTATCCGAGCTATACACAGCATATTTAATAGTATACAAAGCATAACGGAGAATTAAAACTAGAGAGGAGCCGAAATGGAAATCTTTTATCTGAACCCTCTCAACATTTGAAGGTTCACATAAAAACCAGAATCGAAATCCAAACCACTATTATGATTTGCTATTTGTATTGTGGTAGCACTGAGGGCCTTGCCCATATCTGGGGCTCCGCCACCGTGCTAGGTGCTCTACAGATAGAAAACAAAACAAAAAAGACAGTTCCTGCCCCAAAGAGCTTATAATTTAAGTAATCACTCCTAATTCTGCAACAGCAAAATCAAAGTCTGTGGCAGTTTTGAAGAGACAAAAATGCAGCTCCCTCTGCTATTGTCCAATTTAAACTAAACTAAATTATCAAAACAAATCAGCAAAGTACATTCTGTGGTGGATTATTCCTTGCTTATATTTTTAATTTCCACTTGTTCATTTATACTATATAAAAAATAAATACATCAGTAATTCACAAAGTCTTTGTTACTGCAAAATGAGTGACGTTTTGAGTGAAGCAAAATTAAGGGTACCATTTTATGACATTACACAACTTTTTCCCCCAAATGTGTGATAACACAAATCCACAGACATCACAACAGGGGCAAGCAAAAGAAAAAAGGGTTTAGCAAAAATGGAAAATGGTTTTAGTGGTTGGGAGGTTTTTTATTAAAGTTTCTCTTGTTGCAAAGTCCCTAATTAAGTTCCACATGTTTCTCTGAGTCATGTGTACAGATGTTTATGTAGGTAACTCCCCTTAACATTGATGAGATCCACAGACATAAATTTCCAGTGCAACAGAGAATTCTATTCTAGTCAGGTTCCAATACTGCATCCACATCCATGGTACCCCTAACTTATTAAAGTAGATGGATACAGGGTGGGGGAAAACTTCTGGAAATGCAGGCCACATTCCCCTACATACCTGAACCCTGTCAGAGTGCCCCTCCTCCTTTACAGGTTTAACTGAGTTGCCAAACTTGAAATCAAGTACCCTCCGCCCCACTATGAAGTCAGAGCTACTACTGGCTTGAGGGGAGTTAGAGAGGCAAGATCTTATCACAAGGGATAAGGTGGAGCTTTACTTTTTCCCTTGTTCCAAACCAGGTTATTAAGTATTCTGTGTGTCACACCTATTTAGATTCCTAATTTAGTGGAATTTTAGGAATACATCACTACCTTTTAAGAAAGGAATGTACAGTGCTGTAGATAAATGGGGCTGCTTTTCTTTTTCAAAAAACTTGACCCTGGAGCTCTGTTTGTTCCTCATTCTCACAATAATACTTACATTTTCCCATTCTCTGAAATGGAATCAGGAAGTAACCTCAGTAAACTATGCTGAGCCATATTTCCGAGCATCTCTATACAATGTCGGCCAGCCGCCAACAAAGCAGCTCTTCATAACAAAAATGTGTTGTAGTTATTACTTATGCCCTTTTGATATTCATGCAAGGTAGGCAGGTAGCATTTACCCATAAACATCAGAAGTGAAATGATAACTTCACAATGACAATAAGCAGGAAATGGCCAGCTGCACACAGATGTCTTAAATTATCTTCCAAGTCTGGGGACATGCCATAGGGGCATATGCTCTCATATAATTCCCACCAGTGTTACAGTTACAGGTAGGTTAGGCACATGCATGTGTGGTGCATTCTTGGTTAGGCAAATGCAACGTATACAAAAGGCCAACACTACGCGAATAATTATTTGGGCAAAGTGCCCAAAATGTGCCCAGTGCTGTCAAAGCACGTACGAAGACGACCCATGCCCCAAAGAACAGCAGAAAGTCAAAGTGGCAACTTGAAGTCTTTTCACATTAGCACACCTGTTCCTCTTCCGATACAACACTGCAAGTATTTAAAAATGTCCATGTGCTAGCTTCCTTAACTAGTTATCTGGGGGTGTTTACGAAGTTTTGCTCTAGTACCTCGGCACTGCCATTAACGAGAACAAAGGAGTTAGTTATACAACCCAAACTCTGAGTCTATCAAAAGACTCAGACATGGAATTACAGTTCCCAGCCTCCTGTGCTGAGGAATAATATAGATACTTCATCTCTTTTCACCTCGTCTTACTCCCTGCCCCCAGCAAGGTGATAACAATTGGACTGTGATTCTTTAATGATAGATCAAATTTGGATATTCGCCTGGAAAGATTATTAAGGGTCAGATAGAAAATCATAGTCTTAACAACCACCCAAAACCCTTCCATTTTTAATGCACCTTTAGGTGATTGGCATGACCTTTTTGCTGCTCTACTCCTTACAGCTATAACTGTGATTTATTATCGGGGGCCAGACGGCAGGTTTTATTTACCTTGTTTCCACCTGCAGTTACAGGGATTGTCCCCATTTTAGGCTTTAAAATATGGAGAAATTTTTAAAGAAAAAATTACATGTTTACGTTCTGTGCCAAAGCTTTCACACCCCTGGGGTCAGTCTCCTCTAACAGGAGACCCCCTCACCCCAACCCCTATGGACAGTAAGTGGCCTAGTTAAAACCAACAGGGTGATTTTTATAGCTATAGAGCACAGCTGACATTAGTTGAGGAAACAAAACTCTGTGCTTCTCATACCTTGCAGTTTCCAAGCTATTTTTCATTTAAATGATTGTTTTGAATTGCTGGAAGCTTGATAGTTGCATTCAGAGACCCAATCACCGTATTTGGCAGATATTTTCCAAAACTATTTTCATACTTTGGGGGAGTTACACAAATATATTTAGTTTATGCAAACAAAAAATTTCAGACACTCTTGTTCATTTCTTTAAATATGGGGCAACTCTTGGCCTAGTTAAAAAAGTCCCTTTTCTCACAGAAAGTCATGGCCTGTATTTCTTCTAAGCTGAAAGAATCCCACAGAAAATGATCCTCTTAGTGTCCTGAGTCTGGTGCCCAGGAGCCAGCATTTGGGATCATTTTGTGCAAGGGTCTCCTCCATTTGTGATCCCTGCCAACGTATGCCATACAAGGTGCAATACTGATTCACAAGTGCTGCAAAATGCATTCATATTATAAAAAAAAACAAAAAAAAACACCACCAAGCACCACACAGCATCTCAGGGTTATTCTGTGGAGGCACGTGAATGTTATTTTGGAAATAAAGAAAGAATGCCAGCAGCGTATTAACTCTCACTTTGAAAACAGGACTCTTTAGGTGTAAAAAGTCAGGACCATGCTAATTCTGCCTGCCAACATTTCAATCGTTTTTATGATTCATTGTTCAGAAAAAGAACGATCCCTTTTCACTGCATCTGCCTGTGGCCATTTGTTTTACTCTAATATATACATTTTAAAGAGACACATTAACCTAAGAAATATAGATCTCTTACCTTCCACTTCTTCATCGTCACATACATGCTTAAGGAAGGAAGCCCCTCTGTCCAGCACTGCCTCATCCTCCATTCTGTAGTAATAGAAAAGAAAAAAAGAGTGCTCAGACTTCTCCTGCAGTGAGCTATTTGAACCAACCCAACTCTTGGGCAGGTTAACCTGCAAACTATTGCTCATGTTATTCGGTGGGCGCAGTTGCTCTTCTTTCCGTGTCTGCTGTTCCTTCATGCAGCTCCTTTTGAATGGCGCTTGGTATTAAGCTGGTCCCATGTAGCTCGAATTCTAACCTTGAGAGGGCATCAGGGGTGGCAGGTATGAGAAAGGTAATCCCAGCTAGCAGTCTCTTCTTTAAAAAAAGACGCCCATAGTAGTTTGGTGTGTCTATACACTAGCCAATAGCTTGTGGAAATCCGGTTTCACTTAAAAGCTCTTCTAAAACACACTGCCTGTAGAACCACCTACACACACAGACACACACAGTGCATACAGACAGACACACACATTCTCATGCACGATGAGAGATGAGGCATCAGCTAGCCTCTTAATACCAGCAAAGCACACTTCTCTGTGGAGAGGCAAGCTTTGTGTCACATGTTGGCCTTAAGGAAATCTGACATCTGAGGATTATCCAGAGACCAAGCTACAGCAAGTCAGGCCATCACAGCAGTCGTGTGTGCGTGTGCCAGCCATTCATTCATGTACTGATTTTCTAAATTTCTCTCTTTCATTTCTCTCCCCCTTTCCTTCTCCCCTCACCTCTCAATTTGTTCCTAATTTTATAACAATGCCAGGAAGCCCTCCTGTTGCATTAAACGTGATTTTCACTATACAATTTCACCACTAAATAAGATTGCTGAAACTTCCCAAGCGAGTGTTTGTAAACCTACTTCTGACTAGCAAATATCAAGAGTTACAGTCAAAATTAAAGGAAGCCTGTAACATACTAATACTTTAATCATATTTAATATAGATAAGTAAACATTTGTCAACCTTTACCATTCTTAGGATAGGGAAACCATTCAGTGATAATTGTCAAATACACATTCTTAATTTACACACTGCAAGCAGCACTGAAGTCAATGAGGCTTTTCAGAGGGTGTAATGCTGCAGAACTGTGGCCTAAAGTTTTCTACCGACTGTGAAAGACAGGTGCATTTGGGAAATAAAACATTGCACCCTTTCCTGCAAAGGCTGAGAGGGCCAGCCCAAAGTGGGAGAATCCCTGGAAAACATACTAACACATTATCAGGTCTTCTAATCATGCCCCGCAAAAGGGTGCTCTAAAAGCAATAGCAGCTACCAGTAAACTGATTTAGCTCTTCAAGAGCTCAGAGTAATCTTGATGTCAAGCTTTCTCGGAGCAAAAACCATTCCAAGAATTTTATAAGCCAATAAGCTTCATAATTCCCCCTTGTCTCTCCATTTTCCAGCTAACAGTTTACCAGCAATTCTCCCATCAACAGTTGGGTTTTCCTCCATCTTGGACTGTTAGTAGCATCCACATTATTGTAGCCTTTAGCTATTAGTTTCCAATTAAGAAAAGCTCACTTCGCACAGCACGATTCACGAATATTTCATATAGGGGGAGGGGCAGAGGAGAGGGGGCCAGATTCAAAACCAATAAGTGAACACCCACAGTGCATTTGTTTCTTCTGGATTACTGTAGAACAATAATTACTAGAGCACCATCTGACATGTTTAATTCTAGAGATGAGCCCATTCCAACACCCCAGACCCTGGCACCCACGAAGTTCGGATCCAATTCTGAACTTTGCAGCACAGGGCCCAATCTCTAGTTAGTATAGTCTGATGGTTTCCTCACATACTGAATGTAGCAGGTAACCAGAAGTCTGTTCTGGAGAATAAATTCCTATGATTTTACAATGTATGAACATCGTACCATTTTACAAGCTGCTGTTCCGCTGCACGATGAGATAAGATTTAACATTCTCTACAAGCTAGCATTAGCAGCTAAAAATACAAAGTCAGCACACACGCACAAAAGCCTTGCTCCAGAGTTCACATTAAATTATTCAACACTATTTGTGCAACTTTTGTTATGCACACAAAGGAACTGATTCCATGGCTCGTCGTCTATATGCAATGGGTGTGAGAGAAAGAGTGTAAAATAAACTGGTTTTTTTTAAACAGCACAGCAGTTGCTTGCTATAAATGCAGCTGAAAACATCTGGAACAGATGGCACTGAATTTTCAGACCAAATAGAAACCTAATACACGTGTTTCTCCCTTGATTACTTCACAAAAAGTCTATTCTTACAGAGGCTTCCTCACAAACTGCTCTGCCAATATGTCAGAGGATAAGATCCTCTTTTAAAGAAGCAACATCAATTAATTTAGAACCCAGCGTTTGTGCATTTATGAATAAAGAAAAGGAGTACTTATGGCACCTTAGAGACTAACAATTTTATTTGAGCATAAGCTTTCGTGAGCTGCAGCTCACTTCATCGGATGCATATGATGCACATGTTTATGAATGTGTTTTATAAACATAACATCAATAAGAATATTTTCAAAAATTCTTTCCCGTCCAGTTTTAAACATTGCCTCACTTTCCAAACACTGCAATATTGTGGTAACGTAGTGTAATCAAAGAGTGACAGCGACTAGGGGAAAAAGAACAGAACTGCCCACAAGGAGTGAAATGCAGACAAGGCAAATGAATGGTAAAGGGAAGATTTAGTTTTTAAAATTCTATTCAAATAACTCTAAAACAGCATATGTAACACTGGCAAGTTTGGGGCTTTTTAAATATGGTTTTAATCCAACAGTCCCTTTAAGCTACCTTGAGTGACACTGCACCATTACATACAGATCGCATGAGAAACATCATGAAAATCTTCAGCTGTAAGAACTTCTATTATAGAGGGAGAGAAACATCTCCCTCCACTTCCCCTCAGGTGTCCCCCTCCAGCTGCTGATTGACTACAGAGCTTTTCCAAGAGCAGCATTACCAGCTGCTAATCAGCGAGTGACAAGCCACCAGCAGACAAACTGCAGTGAACAGCTGTCTTTGGATATTACCATTCAAGGCACCTGCATTGCACAGTTCAGGACAAACTCAAATGCTCATATCTTTAGCATTTTATACGGTTTTGCGGTAACAGCATCTAGTTTCTGAGGATCCTTAACTGTTTACAGCATATTTCAACCTTTATGCTTTCACCAAAACCTGCAGAAGGAGATACAGGTTGAATGGCCAGAACTAGTACTTCAGTTACCTTGGCTATCATCATCATGGCAAATCCCAAAGGCACATGGCCTCCTTGCAAATTGAGCAGCACCTGGATCCATCTCTGGAAAGAGGCCTAAGGTGGTCAGCTGGTAAACTCAGTTTATGTCCATCACTGGGAACTGGCACACCCCCAAAGCTTTCAATGCCCACCTGATCACCAGCCATGTAGCAACATTCCTTGGTACACACGTGTCAGAAGCTGCTGGTCTTCCAGTCTAATAATATGTCCACACCAAGAAAGCCGTCCAAACCAAACTAGTGCTGATGGAGGCAGTTGCTGAGGTTGGCTCCAAACATCCTCATTTCTGAGCATGTCCTGCCACTTGATATGCAGCAGCTAACAAAGTCGACAAGAATCAAAAACGTAAACCCAGTGTTCTTCAGCCCTCCTCGGAGCCCATGTTCATGGCCTTACGATAGCATTTGTATAACGGTGGTGCTACAGATCCTCAACTTCACGGCAAGTTTGATGTCACAAAGCCCCCAACAAAGGCCACTGGCAGCAGCTGCTTCTATAGAAGCATCCACATCCACATCTTCTCCTCCAGCACTATGACCCTACCCAAATATCGGACAATTTCCACCTGCTCAATGCCTCACCTGGACAGGCTGATACTGAGCTGGTTGTAATGCAGAGCTGGAGGCCACTTGATGACAATGGCTAGGGGTTCAAACCAATGCATACGGCTTATCGCTCAACGAGATCAGCGATCAGCTATCAGCTGCAACAATTCGCCAGATTGAACCCACACGACAATGTCACTGGGAAACTAGCAATTACACCAGAAGCACCACCTCCTGACTCTGACTTTCCTGCCCTTCTCAGGTTGTCAAAAGACTCCCTTTGGCCAAATTTTGGCCAGAAAGATTCACTGCAAATTTTCATTAAAAAAAAAAGTTCAGACTCCTAAACTTTGGGGGGGGGAGGGGGAGGAAGTTAAATTTGGGACAGCGGTTGCATAAAGAAACAAAACTGGAAACAAAACTGGTGAAAATCTTCACGAGTTTTATTGGAGATGAGGAAAAGGGAGAGAATTGCTTATCATCCTACCAGCATACCATGGCTGCTGGGTAGAGCTAGCTACGCTGTCCCATAGTGGAGAAAGCTGGAGCTACTGGATGGAACAGAGAGTCTTAGTCCTGAGAGAGGAATGGGTCTCAACTCTAAGAGAAAAAGGGAAGAATGGAGTAGGCTTGCTATCCACAGTAAGGACATGCCATATGGGTGGGATTTTCAAAAAGCACTTGGCCTAACTCTGACATCAACAGCAATTGCTAGAGCTGGGATGAAAATTTTCATTTTGACTTACAATGTTTTGTGTCAGTTGTTGAAGACCAAAAGACTATCCATTTTCCATTTTCAGTTTCTAGATTTGGGGAAACCACATTTTCTAATGGGAAAAAAATTTCGTAGAAAAAAGTCATTCTGTTGACTTCAGTAGGAGCTGAGCTGTGCTGAGCTGGGCCAATCCGGCCCCGCCGGCTGTCCCCCAAGCTGCTGCTTCATCAGCCCTGTGCTTGGGAACCATAAACCCTGCTGGGTCTTTGGAGGAAGAGGGAAAAAAAGCAAAAGGAAAAAAAAAAGCTGAGCACTTCTGAAAAATCCCACCTTACATAAGTGAGATTTTGACAAAAGTCCAACATCATGGACTTAGCATCCAACTCAGGCAGTAAGGTACATACCTGCTGAGTGCTAGAATCCACTGGAACCCTCTAGTAGTTGATTTAGAAGCAGGACTGACTAGTCTAAAGGGAGTCTCAGCCACGCCTAAATCCATAAGAACGGTAGCTACAACATAGGGTCAGGAGGGTACAGTGGC